CCCCCCCCCCCCCCCCCCCCCTATTGCCTTAGGCCCTGACTTAACTGTCATCACATGGTAAATGGTTGAGTGCGAGAGGCTGCAAGGGCTTGAAATGGTATAAATATGAAGCAAGCACTTTGCGGCGACATATCTCGTTACCCTGATGGCACCAAAACATGTCATCTACAATTGTGGCTGTTCATTTTACATTTTTACCCTCTAATTTGAACGCCTTTCAGGCTCTTAACAGACGAGAGGTAATTGTCAAATATATTTACTCATTTGTGTCAAAACTGCTAGAATAAACATAACTAAAAGAAATGGTTGGTGAATAATCCAGGTGTGTAATATAGGCAATGCTTTCATGTGTTTTTATGTATCATCTTAAATCCTTAATGTTAATGCTTCTGTGTAAATTTCACATGCCAGGCTGAACACCTGCCGCCCTCTTTGTTTACCTGTTTTAATGCATTTGACTTTCCTTTGGTAAGCCAATGTTTAACGTCACAATGCTATGATTTGTGGGTAATTCTACCAGGTAAAGTCTGAAGAAATACAAACATAAGGAATGTTTAGATAAAGAGCTCAAAATGTCCGAGAGAGCCCCCAAACACTTGACGATTTGACAGTGACACAGCCCTAAAGCCTCACAAACTTTGTTTAGGAACGCGCCTTGAAGTCAGTGAGTCCGCTAGAGTGGCCAATGGATTGTAAGAACTGGCCCACTGCCACTGATAATGGTATTAGTAACACCTGGGATTTTGATCTCAATCACTTTCGTTAATATCACAGACTGTACATAAGAAGTAGACATAGTCATCGTGACATCACCCATTGGTTTTTGGACAGCCGTTATGAAGCCTTGAGTTCGGCAGAGACGTAGAGACGCCGTATACGGCTCTGGTAGAGACCTGTCAATCACAGTAAGCCCCGCCCTAAAGCATACCCTGCTTTATGGTCTGTTTGACTCTAAATGGACCATAATTTACTAAATGAACATCATGCTGTATTGAAGAAGACTTGAAACTAGAGACTGAGACCATAAACTCATGTTTACAATGTTTACTGAGGTAATACATCAAGAGAGAAGTAGAGTCATTTTCTCATAGACTTCTATACAACCAGAGGATTCGCCCCCTGGTGGTCAGTAGAGAGAATGCAGGTTTGGAGACTCTTTTGCATTGGCTTCACTCAGCAGAACTGGAGGTTGCCGCCTGGTTAATACCAGTCTACGGTGAATGTAGTGAAGTTAATCATTTTAGTAAAGGGCTACCCAGAGCTTTGTGGTCTGCTCCACAGTCTATTATATTTGCTTTATTCTGTATTTGAGCAGTAAAGTTACTGCGAGTGATTAACAGTTCTGGAAATCCATTTCTCTTTGTTTGGACTCTGTTTAGTCAATGAGGCTTCTAATGCTAAAGTACTGCAACTTAATATTAACGGCAGGCATGCATCTTCCCAAGCACCTTGGATGAAAAGGTTGAAATACAACATGTGAACGCCCCTTGTTTCATGACGCTGTTTGTACAGAACATGGTTAGACTAGCTTAGCATAAAGACTGGCAGGCTGCTAATCTACTCCAACCCTGTCCTGACTCCAACTCAAGTAACTTTATTTCACAAAATGTTCAATTACTCCTTTAAGTATAACAATTCTAATCAGAAGTATTCCTGTCATTATGTGTGGTAGCTATTGGTATTATACTCTTTGCCATGATGTTACCACTGTTTCATTACGATCCTACAACGCTTTTGCAGGCATGTCGTTACATCAGAGGGGTCCTCAGAGGGGTGAACTATGTTGAGCCTAGAGCTAGAGTTTCTAATGCCACTCTATTAACCTGCTGGACCGCGATGGTAACTTATATCCACCCTGGGTTATAAGAGAGCCACCTTTGTGACATTGAAAACTCACTTTAAACTCAACATTTACCATTAATCTTACGTGGTAGTAACGGTACCCCACCCCCTCCCCCTCGCGGAAAACACTACTAAAACTAACCGTAAAGGGGACTGTGGATGTCGCAAAAAATTCTACCAGTCCACGGTTCTTGTAATTCGCTTCAATGAACGTTACGTGCCCTTCATTGTAAACGAGATGACATCAAACCCATTCAACTTTGGTATACATCCAACGTTACCTGTGAACCGGACTCCTTTCCGTCATTGCGGTATACATGACTCGTGAAATTTCCCTTGTAGTTTTCGCGTCCAGTCAGTCAGCGTAACTAAAACATCCGTTTAGGCTAATTCATGAATCTCGAGGCAGACAGAATACGCTAACGTTAACGTTGGTCAGATGAGTTTACACCAAAGCCCAGAAGAGCAAAAGGCACGCTAACGCTACTTAGTCACGTCGTTATATCCTCCCTAAAAAAAAAAAATATATATATATATATATATATATATATATATACACGACATGGTAAATCAGACTAAATAAACCACCAATTTAGTCGCATGTATCATCAAACATTTCACTTCTCGCTTTCCGTTCATTCCGCATCCGTTACACCAGGCTTCCGGTTTGTTACATTGGTCGCATTCTTCTTCTTCTTCTTCTTCTTCTTCTTGTTTGAGGTTTATTGGCGGTTGGCAAACTATGAATTAGTGCATTACCGCCACCAACTGGTATGGAGTGTGGATCAGGATGTCTAATAGGCTACTTATATAAAAATGTAAATTCAAAAGGAAAAGAAAAAAGAAACAAAACAACGAGCTCATATTTTCTTAATAATATTAATTAATCTAAGATATTGAAATAATACTTGATAACACTCACTTTTTGAGGTATTTTGCTGAATATCCACTATATCCAACCATACCTTCATCTTGCCGAGGTCTCCAATCAGCTGCCCTCTTTCCTGCTCATATTTCTGACATTGTACAATTACATGCTCTATTGTTTCCTCTTGCTCACAATAGTCGCATTTCCCTGTTTCATGTTTACCTATTTTTTAAGCATACCGTTTAGGCCTGTATGTCCAAATCTAAGCCTTGATATTACCGTTTCCTCTCTCCTGTTCCTTCCTGCACATCTCATTTCTCCCACTTTCCTCTGAACTCGGTAAAACCATCGTCCTTTCCTGTCTTCTTCCCATTGCTTCTGCCACCTTTCCTTCAACCTCTGTTTAATGATACTTTTTGTTTCTGATTTACTGAAGCTGACTGCAACATTAGTGTAGCTATTTTTTGTGGCCTCTTTTGCAGCTTTATCTGCCATCTCATTTCCTATGACCCTAATATGTGCTGGTACCCATAGGAATATGACTGTCAGACCCATCATTTGAATTTTGTATAATGTTTGTTGTATTTCTATAAGGATGTCTGGTCTACTGTCTGAATGGCTGTTCTGTAAGCTGGCTAATGATGAGCTTGAGTCTGAACAAATGATTGCCCTCAATGGTCTTGTGTCCTCTATCCACTGTAGTGCTGACATTATTGCCAGCATTTCCCCTGTGTACACTGATAGTCCCTCACTGATCATTTTACCTATTTTAATATTAAATTCTGGGACAATAAATGCCACTCCTACCTTGTTTCCTAAATTATTTGATGCATCTGTAAAAACCTGGATATAACTGTGGTAACTGTCGATATGTGCCTGTATTGTATGCCAATTGAAATGATCCGCTCTACCCTTGTTCTTCTTTTTTAATAACGTAAAGTCTACTGTTGCATTAGGAAGTATCCACGGTGCTATTGTTGGTAATGGGACTGTTGGACTGAAGTTTAATTTATGCCAAGTTCTGTTGCTTTCTGTGCTACTGTCCATCCAAAGCTTCTTGTCTCCCTCTTCTCCTTTTCCCAGCAAGGTTCTAACATTTCCTGTGTTGGATGTTCTTCACTGTGTCCCTGTAGATTTGCCTAATAACTCAATGCTAACTGGGTTCTTCGTAGTTCTAGCGGCATTTCACCCATTTCCACCTGTAATGCAGCCGTTGGGGTTGTTTTAAAGGCACCGGTGCATATTCTCATTGCCTGATATTGAATAATATCCAGTTTTTTAAGAGATGTGCTTGCTGCTGATCCATACACCACACACCCATAATCTAATATAGACCTAATTAATCCACTGCATATGGCTTTCAAAGCAGTTCTATCTGCCCCCCCATTCACTTCCCATCAAACACCTCATTATATTTAATGCTTTTTTACATTAATTCTCTACTTTATTAATATGTACAGCCCATGTGATCCTTTCGTCAAACCACAAACCTAAATATTTAAAGTGTTTTACTCTCTCCAATTCATGATTATATAGTTCTAGTTTTACTTCACTACAAATGTGTCTCCTTGTAAAGAACATCGTCTTTGTCTTATCTACTGAGAATTTAAAACCCCATTTATATGACCACTCTTATACCTTCAAAATGGCTCTCTGCAGTTAGTTTACTATGAATTCCACATTTCTTCCCCTCTTCCAAATTGGCCCATCATCTACAAATAGTGACAATCCCATCCCA